GAAGGATGTAGTTGGAGTGGGAGACTACAGTGAGCGCACCCAACCCCGCCGTTCAGGCAGTCAGAGTCAGCGACACACTGCATCCATTTTCATCACCAGAAGTTACAAGGTTGGAGAGTCCAACCTGCACGAAGAGAAGTCCAGCGTGCAAGACAGCACCTATTGACCCTCACGTCTGGCGACGACGTCGAGGTATTCTTATTCCGTTCGTTCAGAGGATTTGCGGGCAGTCTTGAAGGAACGAGCTCTCCGGCGGGAAGCTCAGAGGGTGCCGGCGTTCTAGCGGCTATCCTATGGGGTTCACGCCAGCGAGGAGGTCGGAATGCCTCCACCCCGCCAAGCAGCGCCACTCCTAGATACAGACTTGGTAAGGCTGAGCGCCACTTCTTTCTCCTTGGAGATAGAAGCGACACCGCTTCCGGCAGGCTTCCACCAACCTAAATTCACACTCTACGATGGGAAAACCGATCCCTACATGCATGTGAGTCACCTCCGACAGGTCATGGCTGAGCATAGGCGGAATGACGCACTTATGTGCCTAATCTTCCCATCAAGTTTAGGCGAACTGGGCTTGAAATGGTTCGAGAGGTTGCCGGAGAGGAGCATAGAAAGGTGGCATCAGTTGGCCGAGGCCTTTGTGACGCGCTTCAAAACCAACACGAAAACACCGAACGAAGTTGACCACCTACTGAGTGTCAAAATAGAGTCGTGCGACACATTGAAGGCATACAACTCCAGATATTGGGAAACCTTCAACGAGATTTTGGATTGCCCGATCAACCTTGCAATCACACAATACAAGCAAGGTCTCCCGATCGGACATAGACTGCGGGATTCGCTTACCATGTACCAGCCGACATCCATGGGCCAGCTAATGCAGTGCATCAATGAACATATCCGAGTAGAGGATGATGCGTCAGCATCTACCGTGAAGGCAACTCCGGTAGCAACAGACAAGCAGTCAGGTGGCAAAGTGCATGCGGTCGGGTAGGAGTCCGACCGATCCGGCGACCGCGCTGAGGAATCGGATCATGGCACTAATCGCAAAAACCAGGGTAGGGCACGTCGGACTGACCGAGATGACTACCCCCGGGATGACGTAACTGATGCTAACAAAAGGTTGAAAGTAAGGACAGGCATCACCACGATCTTTAAGATTCCAATCTATCGTATACTTAGTGAAATCCATAACGAGGAGTATGTCCGGTTTCCTGCTAAGTTAGGCGACAGACAGAAGGGCTTCAATCCGCAGTATCGTTGCACGTTTCACCAGGAGCGGGGCCATCGGACAGAGGATTGTTTGCCTTTGAGGCAACACTTGGAAGAGCTAGTCGCAGCCGGACACTTGGACCTTTACATAGATGGCGGCGTGAAGGCCAATCAAGCTCCGGTTGACCCACAGGACCGGATGATTGAGATGCGCCTCCCCAAGGGGTTATTAATGTCATCCACGGCATAGTAGAACCGGCGCGTGTATGCGAGCTCTGAGAAATGATCAAGAAGGCAGAACACATGAAGGAAGTTTTGTCGGTTCAGCTTGCAATCAAAAGGAGGAAGACCGAAGAGAAAGACGTGATCAGTTTCTCCTCAAGAGACCTAGAGCGCATTCAGACGCCGCACAACGATGCCTTAATGGTAACACTCCGCGTCAAAGAATTTGATGTCAAGCGGATCTTGATCGATCAGGGAAGCTCGGTCGAGATCATGTACTGCGACGCTTTCAAACAGCTCCAGCTCCGAGATACAGATTTGGCCCCGGCAACTTCGTCATTGGTTAGTTTCAACTCACAACCGAAGTGGCCTTTGGAAAAAATTATCCTGCCGGTCAAAGCAGGATCCGTGGTCAAACAGGTGGAGTTCTGGGTGTTGTAGGTGCCATCCACTTACAATTTGATCCTTGGAAGGGGATGGTTTCACGCTATGCAAGCCGTAGCGTCAACCTACCACCAGGTGGTGAGATTTCCCTCGGTTATGGGGGCAATCGAGGAGGTTTGGGGCGATCAAGCCATGTCGAAGCAATGCTTCGTGGCAGTCAACGGGAGTCGAGCTGCCAAAGGCTTCGTTCAAATGATTGAGGGACCGGAAGACCGGGGAGTCCTAGACGACGTGGGCACCAAGGCCGAGGACAAAGATGTCGATGAGTTAGTGGAAGTGCACATTAATACAGAGCATCCGGACAAGTTCTTCTTGCTCGGCTCAAGCCTTATAACCCAAGAATGGACCGACATGGTTGAGTTTTTGATGGCCAATATTGAAGTTTTTGCATAGTCACCTTATGACATGCCCGATCTCGATCCAAGTTTTATATGCCATCATCTCAATGTCTTCCCTGGCACCAAGTCGGTCATGCAGCGAACAAGGAGATAGGCGCTGCATCACGCCGAGGTAGTTGGGGAGGAAGTGAAGAATTTTCTTGAGGCGCGAGCAATTCAGGAAGTGCATTACCCTCGGTAGATTTCAAACACAGTCGTGGTGCCCAAGAAGAATGGGAAATGGCGAGTTTGCGTTGACTACAACACCGTCAACCGATCTTGTCCGAAAGACAGCTTCCCTCTGCCTAGAATAGACCAGCTTGTGGACTTAACGGCTGGACATAACAGGCTCAGTTTCTTGGACGCTTACCGCGGCTACCATCAGATTGCCATGCATGGGCCCGACCGAGAGATCACCTCGTTTACTACGCCAAGGGGATTATTCGGCTACCGAGCCATGCCTTTTGGTTTGAAGAACGCCGGGGCAACTTTTCAAAGGATGGTGACCAAGATGTTCGCTCCTCTGCTAGGCCAGACAATGGAGGCTTATATTGATGATATGGTGGTTAAGAGCCGGCATCAAGCAGACCATTTGTCTGATTTGGCCGAAATGTTCGCCATTCTCAAAAAGCACAAGCTATGCCTGAATGCGTCTAAGTGTGCTTTCGGCGTGGGATCCGAAAATTTTTTAGGTTTCCTAGTCACGAACCGAGGTATCGAAGCAGACCCTACACAAATCCAAGCTATGCAAGAGCTCAAACAGCTTAGCTCGGCTAAGGATGTGCAGCATCTGGCCGGAATGGCCGCCACGCTTAACCGATTTATAAGCCGGTCATCAGATCGCTACCGCCCTTTCTTTCAAGCCTTGAAATCAAAGTTCTCATGGGATGAAGAGTGTGACTGGGCTTTGGCCAAGCTCAAGGGGTATTTGTCTTCCGCGCCGTTGCTGGTCACACCGAAACCCAGAGAAGAACTTTACCTTTATCTAGCTGTATCGCAGTATGTAGTCAGTGCAGTGCTTGTCCGGTCGAAAAGAATCAAACATCTATCCATCTTCTACGTTAGCAAAACCTTGCTACAGGCAGAGTCGAGGTACTTGCCCCTGGAAAAACTTGCGTTAGCGTTGATGATGGCTTCAAGGAAGTTGGCACACTATTTCCATGCCATACCATCATCGTCTTGACTGAGTTCTCTCTCAAAGCATTGTTCGAACGGGCAGACTTCTCTGGTCGGATTCTTAAGTGGGCGGTCGAATTGGGACAGTTTGATGTGAAATTCCAGCCGCGCACAGCCAAAAAAGCCCAGACTCTGGCCGATTTCGTTGCTGAATTCTCACTTGGAACTCATTCGGTATGCCCGGTCGATATTGCCGTGGCAGATGAAGAGGTGAATGCAAGCTCGACCGCAATACCACAGCTTGGCGGCATTGGCGACACGGAACTTGCGCGCCCCGCCGAAGCCCCTTCAGTTAATACAATACTACAGCCCGGTGATGCGATGACGGAGTTGGATATCACTGACCAACCCGCTTTGTTCGACACTACATCACCGAGGAGGGAAGAAATGGAACCGCTCAGCACAGAGCCTGCGGCTGGCATAATATCGCAACCTGGCAATTCGCCTACAGACTTGGGCATTGTGGATCAACTTGCTGAGTCCAGCGCCGAATCACCAAGGGGGGCTGAAGTGGAACCGCTCAGCACGGGACCGGAAGCCGAACAGCCGAGCAACCGTGATCCCATCAACCTTCAAGTTTCTCAAGACCCCTCAAAGTGTTGGAAGCTCTTTGTCGGCGAAATGTGGAAACTTTTTGTTGATGGCGCCTCGAACCGTCACGGTGCCGGGCTAGGTATAGTTCTGATTTTGCCAGACGGACTGACTATAGAACATTCTATCACTCTTGGCTTCCCAGTATCCAATAATAAGGCCAAGTACGAGGCGCTATTGGCCGGCCTCAAGAGCGCGCTTCAGATGCAAGCATTCGAACTAATGGTTTACAGTGATTCCCAGCTTGTGGTTAACTAAGTTTCTGGGGTTTACAAGGCAAAGGATGACAGAATGCTGAAGTTCCAAGCTCTGGTCAGAGACCACATCAAGCGATTTCAGGCGATCAAGGTCCAACAGATTGGCCGAGAAGAAAACGGCCGAGCAGATGAGTTGGCCGGCCTTGCTTCTATGGTCGACAGCACATCTCCCAACCCTCTTTTGATTGAATTCCTTCTGAGGCCCAGCATTGAGGAAGCCGAGCAGACAGAAGTACTCTGCGCCGAGCTAGGTCCTTCTTGGATGGACCCCATAATCCTCTTTCTCAGAGAACGGACCCTTCCAGCTGACAAGAAGGAAGTGCATAAAGTGCGGGTGAAGTCCGAGCGGTTTTGGCTCTCTCCATCAGGCGCTTTATACAAGAAGTCTTTTACCGATCCCTACCTGAAGTGTGTGCACCCGAGTAGCGTAGAAGCCTTTCTTTACGAAATTCACGAAGGCATCTGTGGCAGTCATATAGGGGGTAGGTCCTTGGCCTACCGAGCTATTTCGCAAGGCTATTGGTGGCCGTGCATGCAAGCCGACACCCAGAAATATGTTCGCAAGTGTGAGAAATGCCAGAAGTTTGCCCACCAGATCCACCAGCCGGCCAGGGAACTTCTTCCCCTCACTAGCCCTTGGCCCTTCGCGATATGGGGGCTAGATATAGTGGGGCCGCTACCAACCACACCAAGCAACCGGAAGTTCTTCATCACGGCCACAGACTACTTCACCAAATGGGTTGAAGCGGAGCCTTTGGCATCAATCAAGGAGAAAGACGTGAAGCGGTTTGTCTGACAGAATGTAGTCACGCGGTTCTGATAACAGCACCCAATTTAACGGCCACCTGTTTAGGGGGTTCTGTGAAGATTTGAAGATCGAATTCTACAACTCTACTCCGGCTTACCCGCAGTCCAACGGTCAAGCCGAGGCTTCGAACAAGACCATTCTTGATGGACTGAAGAAGAGGCTTGAGAAAGCCAAAGGAAAGTGGGCTGAGGAACTCCCCAGTGTCCTTTGGGTATACCGAACAACCCCGCGGCGATCTATCGGGGAAACTCCTTTTGCTTTGGCATACGGCATGGAGGCGGTCATCCCTTTGGAAGTTGGTATGCCCACCCTCAGAAGTGAAAGTTTTGAGCCCGAGCTGAATGCCGAAGCCATGGCCTTGGAATTGGACCTGGCCGCCTACCAACAAGAGCTTTCCAGGAAATACAACAAATCCGTGCACCCCAGACCGTTCAAAGTGGGTGATTGGGTCTTGCGGAAGGACATGGGCAATACCCTGGTGCCAGGCGAAGACAAACTAGGGGCAAATTGGGAAGGACCCTACAAGATAACCGGTCTGGCGGGAAAGGGGGCATATCACTTGGAAGACTTGGATGGTAGAGGAATAACCCGGCCATGGAATGCAGCCAACCTCAAGTTGTATTATTTCTAGCTTTTGCTCTCTTTTTTGTGCAAAGAAATTTTTTGCCTTACCCTTCATGTAATATTCATTTTTGTCAATATATAGAAGTGACTCATCTTTGCCTTGGCATTTTTTTTTTTGTTGCTTTGAGTTTTGGGTATTCTCAACCGAGATGTTTACTCCGGTTGAAAGAGTTGATGTTTTGTTCAACTTAGGTATTCTCAACCGAGATGTTCACTCCGGTTAAAAGAGTTGATGTTTTGTTCAACTTAGGTACTCTTAACCGAGACGTTCACTCCGGTTGAAAAGTTGATATTTTGTTCAACTGAGGTGCTCTCAACCAAGATGTTTATTCCGGTTGAAAGAGTTGAAGTTTTGTTCAACTTAGGTATTCTCAACCGAGATGTTCACTCCGGTTAAAAGAGTTGATATTTTGTTCAACTTAGGTACTCTCAACTGAGATGTTCACTCCGGTTAAAAAGTTGATGTTTTGTTCAACTGAGGTGCTCTCAACCGAGATGTTTATTCCGGTTGAAAGAGTTGATGTTTTGTTCAACTTAGGTACTCTCAACCAAGATGTTTACTCCGGTTGAAAGAGTTGATGTTTTGTTCAACTTAGGTATTCTCAACCAAGATGTTTACTCCGGTTGAAGAGTTGATGTTTTGTTCAACTTAGGTATTCTCAACCGAGATGTTCACTCCGGTTGACAGAGTTAATGTTTTGTTCAACTTAGGTACTCTCAACCAAGATGATTAGACCGGTTAAAAAGTTGATGTTTTGCTCAAATTAGGTATTTTCAACCAGGATGTTTATTCCGGTTAAAAGACTTGAAGTTTTGCTCGACTCTGGGTGTACTACCGAGATGATTTATTCCGGTTATATGAGTTAATTAATGAAATTTGTCTTGCCAACATATTTTGTCCGGTTGAAGTTACTCAGCTCTAGGACTGTGCAAACACTTGGTGAAACTAGATCTTTTTCATTAATGTAAAAAATAGTACAAAAGGAGGGGCAGAGAGCCCGGTTACATGTGCCAAAAAAAAAAAAAAAACTACACAAGGAGGGAAAGATTAGTGAATTCGTCATCAGCTGCCTCCAGGTTGATCGTTGTTTGCTCTTGGACACCGGTCTCAGTTTCTCTGGGCTGCTCTTGGCTGCTTCCTTCCTCGGCATTGGCCTCGGTTTCTTTGGCAAGCTCTTCCTCGGCCTCAGCTTGCAACGCACTAAAGACGTCGTTGGCATAGGGCACGAGGTACACCGACAGGAAGGCAGCCGGCGGAGAGGTAAATACGTCGGTCTCGGGACCTTGACTGAGCTGAGCACAGGCAGACTTCCAGCCCGCTTTGAAATAAATATCTTGAGCTGCGAAGACTTGCTTCTTTTAGCTGTCCTCGGCTTCCTTGAAGCCGGCGTTGTTGGCATCTTTGCACTCCTTCTCCCTTGACTTCTTGAGTGCATCCAGCTCGGCCTAGAGCTCATCCCTCTTTTTCTCGGCTTCGTCAAGCTGGCCGAGCAACCTGTTATTGTCAGCATTAGCGATTTGAAGTGAGGACTTTGCTCGGCCGAGCTCGGTCTGAAGACTCTGGACTTGGCCGGCAGTGTCATTTGCCTTCTGCCGCAGTCGATGGATTCGCTCCATGACCAAGTGTTGCTTTTGGATGGCCTGCAAGAAGAAAGTCTGATCAGAGAAGAAACCGTGCAAACACTTCGTAAAAATTTCAGTGAAAGATTGAGACTTACCCTGGCCATGGACTTAACAGACGATTTCACCAACCGGGTGTCAGGAACGTGGTCGCTGCCGACCACGTCGCTCGGTAGGAGAAGGGCTTTGGAAAGGTCAAAGGTGAGCAGGTGCTCTTTTTCGCCCTTGATGGAAGTGGTAGCCGGTATGTCCTTTCCCCGGTGCTTTAGCTGCGGTCGCCACGGTGGTGTTGTGTCGACAGTGACGATGGGTTGCTCGATGGTTAGCTCGGCAACCAGCTCGGCGGATGGGTCTACACGAGGCCTTTTGCCAGCCCGACGAGCTTCTTGTCTGGGTTGCCCAGCACCTGGAGATGACAAGGCGACCACGGGGCCGCTGGATTATCCGGCAGCTTGAGAGTGGGTGGTGATGCTCGGCATCTCGGTTGAGGTTGCTGTGAGAAGGTTCTTAATGCGGCTTCATTTTGCCATCTCTTGTTCTTCAGTCAGCCGGATTAGCAGCACGTCCGGTAGAGTTGGATCCGGAGGAGGTGTTGGAGCATGGAGAAAGTCTGTAACTTTGCTCCGGCGTAGAGCTGAGTATCTGTAGGTTGGAGTGTAGCCGAGCAACTCATTACAATCCCGGTGGCTGTAACAGAGCACGGTCCGGATGGCTTCTACGTTGGGATATTGGTAGTTGGATTGCAAGGCTTGAATTGCTGCAAAAGAAACAGGAAAAATGGTTAAGTACAGAATGTTGAAAGCAGGAAATTGACCGCGCAAATTAGCACGGCTTACATGTGGAACCAAAGTTCTTGCTGATGAACCAGCCCGGTACGTCGACTGTTTCATAATTGCCAGACACCCAGAAGAAGTTGTCATCATGTAAGTCCTTGTCTGGGGTGCCGGTCACTATTTTCTCTTTGCCCGGTCTTATTTTTAAATAATAGGCCAGGCCGTCGCCGGTGTGACCAAGGGTGTATTGTCGTAGTATCTCGTCTAAACCTAAGCTTATTCCTAGCTGGTTATTTAGCTCGTGCACGCCATTGATTATTCGGTAAGTATTGGTCGAAACTTGGGTGGGTGCTAGACCGATGCGGTGCGGAAACTCGGTCATCAAAGGGTTGACCGGAAGCAGAGGCCTCCTTCAATTACTGACAGCACGGTGAAGGTGCATTGGTCAAGCCTGCCCCAAGGGGTTGTTTCCATCTTGGCGAGCTCTAAATGGACATCTGTCGGGATACCGTATTCTTCCCTGAAGGCGGCTAAGGCAGCAGGTGTGTCCACAAGGAAGCGAAATTTCCCCATGTGTGGCCGACCAATTTAGCTCGGCTGAGATGGCTTGGCACAGGTTGGGAATTATTGGCTGCTCGGTCCTTGAGAGCCTCAGAATTGGTCTTTGGTCCCCTTGGACTCTGCAGGAAAACGGAGGGTAATCGTAAGTGGGAGCGCGGTCGCGCAAAACGAGCTAGACTTGAGCTCGGACTTGGATTGTGCCAAACCACCTCGGTTGTAAAGGCTAGCCAAGGAGCTCGGTCGCCCAAGCGGACCAGATATTAGCCCGGTTAAACGGCCAAGTCATTTGGTTAGCCCGGTTTCTACTAAAGTTGGGACAAACTGCGTATTTGTTCGGTCCGAGTGATTTTTTTGGATCAAAGGAAGACCTGGAGCCCGGTCCGCCCCAGATCCTCAGTGTTCATCAGAGAAAATGAAGAACAGTAAGGAGGGTGAAGGGTTAGGGATGGTTTTGGGTGCCTATGTCCTAAAACCTACAGATTTAGTGCCCTAATATGTGAAATGCCGACTAAAATAGCAAAAACAAGGTTCAAGAAACTTACCAGTTGAGAGCAGGGCCTACTTCTTCGAGCACAAATGCAAAGAGTGGCAGGGACGAAGTTTTGCTGGGGAAGCTTGAGCTCTAAATCGTCGAAGGCTTGAAGAGAGGCAGTAGGAATGAAAGGAAGCGAGAAGAGGTATATCTATAGAGGGGGAGAAGCCGCCCAAATTCAAATTTGAGGGGACGGTTGGGTTGGCTGCTCGAGGACCAATAGGAGATTGACACGTGCCCCCATTAATGGTGGCGTCAGAGTTGAAGAGACAGGAAGGCCAGACGAGGCGTCGACCGAGCAAGACAAGGAACCGAGCGCGGAAATTAGCCCGATTTGCCTCTTACAAATTATCAACCGAGGAAGAGTTTATCCCGGTCGGAACAGGTAATCTCGGTCACGTTGGCGCGGACGGAATTAAGGGGCAATTGAGAGGGAAAAATATGATCTAGATTGGGCCATGGTAATACCAGGCAAATTGTGGGCCGAACACATTTGGGCCGTGGTATCCCGGGTCCACCCAAAAGTGATTTTTGCTCGGCAATGGCAAGGGCATGTGGAACCGGGCTACTTCACCTTGTCGGCACGGAGGCCGGTCAAGTAAGGGTTTCACGGTTTATGCGTTGCGCAGTTGGAAAGCACGCATCCATATCTCGGCGTGAAGGCTCATGCCTGAAGCTCGGCAGGAAGGACTTTGGTTGACCGGTATGACCAATCTCAAGCTTGGCTTCGCGGGAATGCAGTTGAGCATGGCTAGAAAGGAGCTCGGTTGTTGGGGGCACCTGAGCATGAAACGCAGCATGGCCGTTGACAGCCGAGATGTTACAGCCCGGCTGCCGAGCTCCCAATGCATTGGGCTGGCAGTCGGGTTAGGTGATGTTTAGCAAGATTTGTGCTGACAGATAGGATAGCAAAACCATGTGTCGAGAGATCACTGGGAGTAGATTTGGGGCGCAGAAGGTATATAAGCAAGTCTACGCCCCCCATGCTGGAGACACGAACATTCGGTAAGAGAAATACTTACACTCAACCCAACCCTCTCTCTCTCTATCCCTGTGTGTGTGTCTAACTTGATCGTCGGAGGGGTTTTCCAGCCACACACCGTCGGGTAGCTCACTGTTGTTGTGCACGCAGGTGATCAGACGGCAACGGAGCTTGGAAGAAAGGAGTGCGGGCTTGCCTGAATATTTGTTCCCCGCACAATATTAATTACATAAAATTAATTATTATGTTGTTATACCTTTACCATTCTTTTCTAAAACAAAAATATTATTATAATTATGCCATCTTGCCTGAAAATAATATTTATTTTATAATAAGAAAATTTTCAATTCTCTCTCTCTCTCTCTCTCCAACCTACTATCTTTTCACCCGAGAACCCTAACTGTCGTACATCCTTTTCCACGTCATTCCCAACCTTCTCAAAATTGGTCAAGTTCATGCAACTCATTATTTTTAATCTCTTCTTCGAAGACTATTAAAGGTTAGTTTTGTAACAATCCAGATTTTGACTTATTCTTTAAAATTTATACTAATATTATTTAATCACAGTTGGGAAAATATACGATTTATTTTGTATTATTATGTGTAATTTTGTAAAACAAGTTTTAAGTCTAGGACATGATGATGGTTGCAAAATAGAGTGGCTACGCGTCACCCAAACTTGTTGAGCAAGTATGAAACTTAGTATAACAAGAGTAGTAGTGCTGTGAATAGAACAAGGGAAAGAAATTAAGAAAAGGGAAAGAAAATACTGGAAGTCGAAAAGGTATTTGGTAGTGGAAAGAAATAGTGAGGTATTAATTTTAAGGTGAGTCATATTATACCTTGAGTCATCATCATATACTTTATGTATATTTTGAGTTACCATAAGTTATTGTACGTAATTTGTGTTTTATAAATTATATTAGCAAATTTAATTTATGAACCTTATTTTTTATAATAAGGAAAACTCATGGATATAACTGTTTATTAAAATGTATTTTGAGTAATTATTTTATAAGTACCACCACAGAGGTCTCATGTCTTGGGGGACTTAAATAACCATTGGCCCTCTGATTAGTAACTTTGTGACCCTCTGTCTGTCATGGATCCATTGACACTTTGATTTCTGGTGTGGAACAAAGTGCTATACAGAGTTAAGTGCTATACTATTGTAGAAGCCACCTCTTGAGTCCATACTTCTGTTCTGTGGTTATGATTTCTGGCGTGAAGTAAAGTGTTGTATGGAGCTAAGTGCTACACTATGGCAGGAGCCACCTCTACAGTTCATACGAGCCATCTCTTTAGTCCATACATCTGTTATGTTCCGTTCTATACCATGCTTATGATAATTTTGTTTATATGATTTCTTTATTATATGTCAAATGATCTCTGTATTATATGTTCTGCATTTTAATATCAAGCTTGATTTATACCCTCATGCTCTCTCAGTATAATATTTCTCACTCTAGCAAGTGCTTATAGCTATTTATCAATTTTCAGGAAACAATGCAATTCAGAAATAGCTTTTGAAGAGTCTTAGACGCGGGGCTGCGGAATAGACACACACAACACTTTTATGGTATTTTTATATAAATATCGGTCTTTTGCTCAATAATTTTGTTATAAAAATAGAAGCTCCGATGATTATTTTGGTACCCTCACTTAAATATTTTTCCGCTCACGTTTAGTGATTTGTTTAAGAATTGTAACTTCAATTACTGGCCATCACGATACTTAACTCTTAGGTACGTGGAGCAGGTCGTGACAAGTGGTATCAAAGCCAGGTTTATTCAAAAAAAAATCATTGGAGTTTAGGACACACACACAATTGGGAAGTCAGATAACAGGGATGAGAGGGAAAGGGATACTCAATTTAAAGTGAGTAAACAGAATTCCATACTTGATCTCACAGAGACATATAGAATTTTGTGGAAAGCCATATTCAATGAAAGTCGTATGTACGGCTTGGAGGGAGATCTTTTATATCTTTCGAGATTCACCCTACAATATGGGGTAAAAAAAGCCAAAATAAGTGATTTTAGCCCTTATAAAAAGAAAACGGTTTCTTGAACCTCTTTCACGCTCATGTCACGTCGAGGTACTGCAAAAGAAAAAATTGCAAAATCTGATCCAATTTATCGCAATCGATTAGTTAATATGTTGGTTAACCGTATTCTGAAACACGGAAAAAGAATCATTGGCTTATCAAATTATCTATCGAGCCATGAAAAAGATTCAACAAAAGATAGAAACAAATCCACTATCTGTTTTACGTCAAGCAATACGTGGAGTAACTCCCGATTAAATGTTATATTTTGTTAAGTCCATTTATTTATATTTTATATTTTATTTGAGCCAAGAGGTCGAAAATTTAATTTTAAAAAAAAGTAAAAATAATTGTATCAGAGTGCGCAGCAAAAACAATGAGATAATTTGCTAAATCAATTTCGAGGACGAAATTTTAAAAGAAGGAAAGATTGTAACAATCCAGATTTTTACTTATTCTTTAAAATTTATACTAATATTATTTAATCACAATTGGAAAAATATACGATTTATTTTGTATTATTATGTATAATTTTGTAAAACAATGTACTTAGTAAGAAATTTGTGGGTCAAAGTGTAAATACACTTAGCTAAACTTATCCATTTGAGGGATAAGCTTTAAGTCTAGGACATGATGATGGCTGCAAAATAGAGAGGCTACGTGTCACCCAAATTTGTTGAGCAAGTATGAAACTTAGTATAAAAGGAGTAGTAATGCTGTGAATAGAACAAGGAAAAGAAAATAAGAAAAGGGGAAGAAAATACTAGAAGTCAAAAAGGTCTTTGGTAGTAGAAAGAAAGAGTGAGGTGTAAATTTTAAGGTGAGTTATATTATACCTTGAGTCAGCATCATATATTTTATGTATATTTTGAGTTACCACAAGTCATTTTACACAATTTGTGTTTTATAAATTATATTAGCATATTTAATTTATGAACCTTATTTTATATAATAAGGAAAACCCATGAATACAACTGTTTATTAAAATATGTTTTGAGTAATTATTTTATAAGTACCACCACGGAGATCTCATGTCTTAGAGGATTTAAATAACCTATAGCGATTCTGGTTTTGACCCATTACTTATTATATTCTGGACTCGGTTTGGAATGGTTTTGAATAGTTATTCATATTTTTCCCTTGTTTCCCCTCCATTTTTGATTATCGGGTTGTAGTTGTGCGTTTGGGATAGGTTGGTTGCTTACTTTTCAAAACTTGTGTTGCCCAGATTTTGGCCTCTCCACTCGAGTAGGAATTCTTGCGCTCGAGCGGGCTTGACAATTTCACTTCCCCGCTCAAGCGGCTATTCTTGCGCTCGAGTGGGAATCGTCAACTCTCAATATTTCTTTTTGCAGGTTTGAAATACTGGAAATATGCATCAGACGCTCGAGCGTCCACTTCCGCGCTCGAGCGGGGACCTTCGTCTACAGAACTTCTGGAAGTATGCATTCTACGCTCGAGCGGAACCTTGTGTCTGACGCTCGAGCGGGGCTTTCCACGCTCAAGCGGATTGCGTATATTTCAGCTTGAGAAGATGACATTTTGAATTACGTTTTCTTCTCTCTCTCTCTCTCTCTCTCTCTAAAACTTTCCAAAAAGCTAGTTCTTGAGCCTTTCTCTCTAGAATTCACCTTCTCTCTAAGATTTCATCTAGATCCGCCGATCTACTCACCCTAGTGCCTTTGAGAAAAAGGTATAGTGCATCAAGATTTACATTTTGATCCGAATAGAAGTGGGTTTCGGTGTTCTTGGGGTTCCTCTCTTGCGTGGCTCATCTTCTTCCTTTGAGGTAGGGATTTTTCTACACCTTCATATGTTATTTAGCTTGGATATTGGTCATTTGTGTAACAAAGAGACATGCATGAAAAGGTTATGATCCCATGCACTATTATCCAGACCACCAATGATCTTGTCGTTCCCATCTTCGTTGGATACTTCATGCAGAAGAAAATCAAGGCCAAATCAACGGTGGAGATAATCGACACAAATGGCCATTTTCCTCAACTAACTGCACATCTTCAACTCCTGAAGATGTTGGGTGGAGTTCTTGGTTTTGAGCTTTGATTTCGATTAAGTAGAGAAGAGGGTGTTTTTAGCTTTCTTCTAAATAAAAGCCAATTTGGTCAAAGTCTTTGTATTCATAATTCCTGACCATTATTGGGATGGTGATGGGAAATGGATGTTGTGTGGGATGGTTTTGTGGCTGTTATAGGTTTGAGTTGTAGTCTTCTAGTTAATATGTAGACGTAAAAATACTCTCGCCACTACAAGTTTGAAGAGGATTGAATGAACACAGTTATATATATCTCTATGTGTGTGAAAAGGCTATTTCCGTAATTTGAATATGTATCCCAAACTACAATTGAACAACTTTTCCATAGTTAATATTTAGATGTAACAAATGTATTTTGGATTGTAAATATGGAACTTTGTGGATTGAAATTACTAGTTTTGTGATGAATGATTGGATGCTTAGTGTTCATTGGATTGGATTATAGAAGTTCATCTCCAGTTTCCTTGCTTAGATAGCTGGGTGTTTGTTTGTTTGTTTTTTTTTTTTTTTTTTTTTTTTTGGGGGGGGTATATATATCAATAATATTAGAGATTAATAACTAATACACAAAAAAATATTAAGAAAAATTGTGCGATTCAAATTTAACTCTTGTATAATAGAGTCCACACTAATTAGAATAAATTTATATCACATATTACTTTTCTTGGTATTTTTTAGTATCTAAATTCTTGTTCCCTTTACTATATGCCTAGTGAAAATGCCCCAAATTACCAACAAAAAAAAAAGGGCAGGGTCGGGGTCGGGATCTTTCAAAATTAACTTTTTTCTTTTGTTTCTTTTTTTTCTTTTCGTTCTCACCAGATTTTTAAAATTCAAACACAATCCAAATATGTAACTAGAAAAAATTATTCAAAAAAGAGCTAAAAAAATTAATGTGTAATATAGATTTAAACTTGGTATTATGGTATTGTGTGAAGCACGGATGAAATTGATCCATTAATTTCAATTTCTGAACACTTCTTTTAAACATATATATATATATATATATATATATTTATATATATTTTGGGATAAACAACATACATTTTGTAGCCTTATGTTGTACTCTATATTGGGCCAACATATATTTTCTAGCCAAGCCCAGTCTACCGAGCCTTTGCCTGTTCCCAGCAATTACTAATTGTTAGGCATTCCATTTGAATCCAAAATATATTTCAGTACATTTAATAAATTCATAAATTTTAATTCTTAATATATTTTAATATTTACTAATAATAACAATATATATTAAACTCTAAAATAATTTTTTTTCTCTCATAGTACACCTTAATTAGTTATTCATATTCAAATCTCTGTATTTTCTTTCCTAAGATATCAAAGTTATTTCTTCTTTTTCTTCATCCTCCCTCCAAAACTTCAATCCATCCTATCAAAACTCATCATCATCATAAACATCATCATTTTTTATTATTTTGAAACTCTAAACCCTAAAAGAAAGTTTGAACAAAATCAAGCAATGGATGAGAGTAACAATCAAAAGAATTTTTTGAAGCAACCCATCAAAAATGAGGTAAATATTTAAATAGAGGGGTTTCACAATTTTTGTAGAGTACCATCAATTATTTTTTATATTGTTTTTTTGACAAAATTAAAAGGCCCAGTAATTAAATTAACAATAACATATTATTAGAGTTGTTCTTATTTTGTCATTTAAATAGAACATTATTTGAGAACTACTCTTTCTTGTTAGTATCTGATGCTTATGTGCATATAAGTTTGGTTTTTACTTTTTCACGAACATTCTTGTGAATAATTTATAATGTAAAAGTGTTTTTTCTATATTGAAAAGTTTTACAATGCTTATCTAAAAGTTTGGTTTTTTCTGTATTTATAATGTTTTTGTGTTTATAAGTTTTTTTTTTCCTGTTTTTGAGAATTATTTTCTATATTGAAAAAATTTGAAAAAATGTAGATTTTTTAGTGTGTTTATTATTTATTATTTGGGTTTACCTTGAGGGTAATTTGGAAAAAATAATAAGGTATAATGAGAGTAAAATAAAATTTTAAATAATTAAATAGGATGCACTTAAAAATTGGGAGTACTTAATAATTTTTTTGGTGTAAATAGAGTCCTCCTGATTGTTAAGAGCTTTAATTGGTGATAAATCCAATTTAAGGAGGGTATAAGACATTAAGTAGATATTTTTTTATTGATGAGAGGTCCACACTTTATAAAATAGTTTGGTGAGAAGTCTAGAACATTTTGTTTCTAATTTTACCCCTTAACTTTTTTTATCTGTTTGACTTTTCGTTGACTATTTGTTGAAATTTTTTTTATCTATTCAAATTCCTATCTGTTTAAATTTTTTATCTATCAAATTTTTTTATTTGTTCAAAGCTTATTGAAATTTTTATATGTTTAATTTTTTTTTATCTATTCAAATTTTTTATCTATTCAAATTTTCTACCTGTTCGTTTTTTATCTATTTAAACAACAATCATCACTAGCACCATCATCCTCCTCATCGAGTCCACCAAACCTTATATGTATATATATATATATATATATTTTCTATATGTTCAGATCTCTCCTCTCTCTCCCTATCTATTGCAATATGCTTCTTTTTTATCATCATCAACAACAACAAATAAAATAAAATAAAAAATTCAAACATTTGTTCAAATCTCTTTTTTCTGTCTCTCTCTATATTTGTTACAATCTGCTTCTTATCATCATCATCATCATCATCATCAAAAACAACAAATCATATTTGTTCATCAACAACAACATAATCACCAAATCCTATCTATTCATCATCATCATAAAAAAAAAATCAAAAAAAAAAAAAAAAAAGATTTGTATGTGCCTCTTTCAAGTACTTCTTCGACTACTTTGCCACACTCTTTAGCCTCTTCATCATCATCATCATCAATTTGGACATCCTTAGGTTCAAGCTTAAATGCATGTTTTACTCAAGGATGGTCTGAAGTGACTGTCTCAAGAACATTCCTTAATGGGAACAAAAAAAGGAACAAAAAAAACCCTAAATAGGAGTTGCAGAATGATACACACCATCAAATGGCAACATTTATTGTCATCGCAATAAGAGCTTCTTGGTGAAGCTGTTGGAATCCTTTTTCTCTCTCCCTATCTGTTGAGCCAAATCTATTCAATGCTATTACAGATCTCATCAACAACATTCATTATCATCAACAACAACAATCAATAACAACA